TTACTCCCAGCCCTAACTCCCGTTGTAACAAAGCTTTTGGCGTCACTGATTCCTCGTCGTCTAACGTCGGAGGGCGAATCCTTGACCCGTGAGCAGCAAGCGGGATTTCGACTGCGTAGGGGCTGCGTTGATCACATCTTCACACCGTCAGGAGTAAGAGAAATGCCATATGTACAGAGAACCCTCAATCTTGGTATTCCTTGACCTCCGGGGTGCTTCGATTCTCTCGATCGGTCACTGCTGTTAACTACACTTGCTACGCGGTATATACCCGAGAAGTTTGTGAAAATAATCCTGTTTCCGTATTCACATACTTCGGGTGGTGAGCGAGTATATATTGAGCTCTATAAGCACTTGCCTACAAAAAGTGGTACCCCACAAGGATGTTCACTCTCCATTCTTGTACAACTTCATCACTGATGAAATAATGAGGCAAACGCTGAAAGGTCTGCAAAACTCCGGTGTTTAAATTGTTGCTGGAGAAAACCTTGTCGATCTGTAGTGCACAGACATTACCCTCATCCTTGAAGCGAAGCACAAGGTATGCTAAATAGATTGACCACCCTCATAAAATCTTTGGGCACGCGGCTTGCACCTTGAAAGTCCCACGTGATGATTCATCACGCGCGCAGTCTCTGAACGTACCCCTTAAAATTCAAGGGTAATCTCTGGAGGTCGTGGAGAACTTCACATACCATAGTGGTTGTATTAGCCATGACGGAAATGTGTCTGATAACCTCAGCGGAAGAGCCTCGAAGGCTAGAATTACGTTTGCTAATTTGCGCTACTTGTGGGGTGAAAACCACCTATTACTGGATCTTAGGAGCCACGTGTACCAGGCTACAGTAAGGGCTGTGTTGTTTAATGGTCGCGAGACGTGGTCTCTGCGGACAGATGGTGTGAGACATCTTCAGTTTTCTTACCTGTGATGCCTCATAAGCATTCCTGTTTTTTTTTAAATGGTGTCAATGGATGGGTAACGAGGTGATTGGAAAACGGGTATTTGGTTTAACATAGGGTACTTCAATCACGGAAAACACCTAGAATCATCGACTGCGATGGCTCGGTCATATGCTACGCATGCCGAAATATTTTCTACCGAAATGAGCGTTGTTTTCTATGCCTCCGCGAGGTGAACAACGTATGATTTGGCAAAAGGGTGTGAACGGGACTAGTTTGGGTATTGTCGGTGCAGTACGTTTCCCATGATGGGATCTCCATGAGGCCTCCTGGACTTGGCTGAGACATTGCAAGAAAGGGCAATCGATGTCAGTGGTGTTCGTGCTGTCAGTTTCTTTCCAGATTGTCTGATTGAGGGCTTGGAGGTGTGGTCCGAATGCACGACATAGAACACACTATTTCCCCTCTGTCACCCAATCGTTTTCTCTTCTTCTTACTCTGAGACAATACAATTAAACTTTGTATTTATATGCCAGTGAAGTATCAGTGTCAACAGTGACGTTGCTGTCTCTGATGATCATGATAGGAATGATGATGATGATGATGAGAGAACACCGTGGCTTCTTGTAGTTAGTACAAAGGTAAACTGACTGTCACTCACCGATATCGGTTGTTTCACAATCCGCGAAATGCCTAGTTAACTGCATCAATTCTCCCTGAAATACATGGAAACAAAGGTAATCACGTGAGTCGGGAAGTGCAGCTTTGCAATGAAACTTTCTACATCGATCGCCAATGTGATCTGGCAAGCATGTCTGCTTCAGCGAAAGGGATATTGTAGTAGACATTTATTCGCGAATCTCTATTGTCATACCTAAGTTTACTATCTAGTTATAGATGCGGAGGAGTGAATCTGAAGTTACCGGAACCATTGCTATCGAAAAAGGAACTCATCCTTAATCATCTGTCACAGAATATCATTTCCTTGGTTAGATGGGCTTGAGCACAAAAAGATCTGACACCATTTGTGGCGGATAGGTAACCATTTTCCATAGTTTTTTTGGTTAGTAGAAATTTATGATGCTACTCACCAACAGGTACAATTTTGACGCGGTGATCGAGCTTGAGCATTGGAATGATCCCGAGAATTAAACTAGGTAGAACTTCGTAACGTACTACCCATGAGGTTGCTGAAAATCCGTCGACAGCCCACGACCAGATTCGCCCGTTTTGGGCTCATCAGGTAGGCGCAGTCCCCGGGTTTCCGTCAACCTTATGTTCTACTTGAAACCAAATTGCACGAAATTAGCGAATATACACTCATTTGCACATTCAGTCGCCTGAGAACATCACAAGCGAGAGATTCAGCTGGGTTCCAGGTGAGTCTCTCGAAAAAAGCCAAATTAGTTTGTAAATGAGTGTATGTTCGCTAGGTAGAACTTCTTTCCATAAGGTCAACTATTCAGGGAAGTCCAAATGGCTACAGAAACAGTGATGGGTTCTCGCACTACGAGTAAACGTAGTGCGGGACCGTCTGGAGATAAAGTCGTAGTTCCTATGCAGTAGACGTCTGAAGGAAGTGGGGCATTCCTTCCAGGATATCCACATGTGAAGATGTAGCGATCCACCTAACAAATACGATTTGGAAAATATCCGCCTTACCAACCACACACACCGATCAGTTAAAGCTTGATTTTGCCCGTCAATGCATTATTCAATACGATGGAAAGGATTTTAAAAACGAAGTCCGGTGACAGAAGCACCTGCAGTGTGTAGTCGCATCAAGAGCCGGATAGCTACGCTTCAGTCCATGCGTCCATGAGCTACACAAACCTCTACAGTCAAGTAGGCCATACTACTGAGTCATTGGCTCCGAGCAGCCCTCAGTGAAACACTAACGTCTCTTGCCTTGAACGGCAGACTATCGAATCAGAGGCTGCGTAAAGGACGCCAGAACGAAACCCTACCTTCTCGCACTACGTTAAATAGGTGGCGATAGATTATTTCCTTTTCGATGGATGGCTGGAATTTAAAAGGGTTATAGGGCATCTAGTCATAGAAATAAGAATCGATACATCAACGGATCACATAGTGGGGTAAAACGTAACCTGGCTGGTAAGCAGATAAGACTATTCATTCGGACCGAGGAGCCCTCTAACAGCTTGTTTAAGCAGAGTCATACAAGAATGAGGTGACAGAAAAAATGTCTGAATCATAACTTCAATTTTTAGCACAAAGTATCTTTGGTTGGTGACGAACGTGACAATACGCCACGGCTGAAAGACACCGAGGCAACACATAACTGAGCCGATGAACGGTTGAATCGATGAGTGCGGACGATTACAACCACGCTAAAAGAGCCAGATCAAACCAGGATAGAAGCTAATCGAGATTTTAGTCATCGATATTACATGTGCAACACAGAAGCAGTCACCGAAGCACTAGTTAGAATTATGTTGAGGTCAAAGGTAAGCCGACTGACAAAGAGCACGGTGATTACGCACAGCCATGCAAGGCAACATGAGAGATTATGAACACGTGACTAATAGCTCGTCGCAAAAATCAGGAAAAAACCAATGAACGGTTATTGTGAATTTATTCGTGTTGCAGCGGCTATTTGAATATTCAAGACACTGTAGAAGCCATTCAGTCAGGACGCTGATCATAAAGTAGGTGGAGAAAGTAACCTGGAAATTTGAAATGGATGAGGTGAACCAGGGTGCACAGAACGGTGTAATAAGAAGACAACTGTTCAGCTGTAGCACCCTTTCGGTGCCCAGTCGCCACGCCACCCGAAGGAAGCACGAGAGCTGGGATACTGCCAAGGTGCCCAAGTCGTGATGTGAGGGTCAGTTTCGAACAACGGACCTTTCGGTTAGTAAATTCGCACTCTGAACACAGAGCTATTTCGCAACACAGAACGGTGTGACAAATGGGATTATCAGTCGCTCAAATTACCAACACGTTTCGAGCACTGTCTCACCGTTAAAATACGTCCAACTGGACTGTGGTACAAAACTCCACGCCGCCCCATAAAGCAGCTAACAGTTGCGATATGGCAACTCCCGTGGTTTATCAAGCCAGAACAAACTGTCTACAACCGAAATCAATCGCCTATCTACGAATTCAACCTCCGGGACCAAACTAGGAAGCTAGTTGAACTGAAAATACCAGATAATCATTTTCCCGGTATTTCGTGCAGTTGTCGTACCAATCTTTCATTCACTCAAACAGTCACGAATGCAGTCTCAGTGGATCGATAACAATCAAACGCCCGTCTAATGCACGTGATCTAATCTGTTTATCTCATGCTAAATGCCAATTAAAATTCATGGGGAAAGATAATGTATCGACAGGGTTGGTCTAATATCCCTTCGATTTCCGACCGTTCGACCGAGCAACGGAAATGCTGTTTTTGACGGAGACCGCGACAGTAAAATAGCGTGAGTTCCAAAGCGTCATGTAAAAGTGGACACCATCCAAGAGTTCCTCTGTGTACCACATAGGATGCAGATATTAGAAGCAGCTCATCTGTCAGATAATAAGTAGAATGCAGCCGTATGCAACCGAACGGCGAGGAAATCGACATACACTATAGCAACCATCCTTCTGACCGCCACATCATTAAATTTAATCGAAATTCAGTTGGGGTCGATGGGTTCTAAGATAACGCCATGAAATAGACAACCTCAAATGGTTTTAGGGAGTATATCCTCTCAGGATAATTAAGATCTAAAACATGATTTTTAGCTAAGGGTTACGTAACTACCGTAGCGGTGCCTGCGGACAAAGACTATTTAACGTGAACAGTCCAAGTAATGAAAGTTGGGGATGATTCCTCACAGAAAGAAGGAAGGATGAACACGCTACTCGATTCACCATAATTGTTAAATCATCTTGGAAAGCTTAAACAAGTAAACCAACCAACGTTTGGTGCGGAGTTGTCCGCACCACTTTTTAAGATGCATCCCAGACACACATATGGCTTTATAGTAATAACCGATGATCAGTTTGGTCGCCACGTTTGAAGCCTCAGAATGCCCACAATGTTAGACCCGATCATTTTCAGCATCAATTGGGAAAACAACAGTTGGACACAATTGTGGGCCAGGTGAACGTCTAGCTAAAGTCATTAATGAGTCCAACCAAGACCCCAGTCATATGGCATTAGAAGGATCGGTCCATACTAAGTTGGCTGAAAGTCACTTGTAGACTAAATACAAAAACAGCCGGAGTCAATCTTCTTTCCAATTCCGCATTTCAAACATACATATCTGCTCGAAGCCAAGCGCTAACAACCCCAAACTTTCGAGCGTTTCATCGACTGCGTTAGAAACTGTTGATTAGTCAGAGTGAAAGTTGGTGTCTAGCGGCCAAAATGATTTGGTATAAACTCCACGAAACGGTCCTTTGCAGAATAGTTTTTCGAATTGTAGATTGAACCAGCTACGCATGACACAGATGATCCGCAGCCAAGCGGTCAAAGCACGATCGGCCAATTTTTATGAGATCAATATTAGATTAGCCATCTCCTACCGTTCAGGTTCCGAATTGTCCAACAACTCATCGATCCCACGCAACCCTCAGTGTTGCACACGCTGAAGCAGTGTTTACTTTCCCCAGACCCATAGTCCAGTTTACCTGTGCGTTCTGTTAGTGGCACATGCCTCGGGCAGAGTGCTTATCAAATATGCGTAATTACTCGGGTGTTTCTTCACCTGTGTATCATACCGAGCGACTCGTCAGCCAATGACGTAGGAACAACGGGGTGCGCAACTGACAACCAAACAGAGGGCGAGACCAACATAGCAGCGGTACGAAGGGCACAAACTGCGATCAGGTTGATGCAGAACCTGGCCTGATCGCAATGATTCAGTTTGGAGCATCCATCCATCGAAGGTTGTGCCACTGAACCTCAAACTACCAAGCCGAAAATTTCAACAACTAAGTTCCTCATCTTTATGCAATATGAGGTTGACAGCTTTGAAAGTTGTCCCTGCAAACCCCTGATGACAAACGAGCTATCTGAACCATCTTAACTGTCCACGGTGCCTTGTCTCACGCCTTCACCTACTTGTAACAATGAGATACAAATGTGTCATCTATGATACCAAAAATCCAAACCTCACATTGCTTAGTGCAGCAAAGACAGTCCCTAGTCATAAAAGATTTCACGATTACGGAGGAAATCGGGTTAAAAGGCAAGGAATGAAGCTGAAGTGGGCGATTTTCGAACGCAAAAGATATTAGCTTTCCCATTCACCCCAAATGATAGACTACTGGTACAACAGACCTGCTGGTTTCCTAATGGACATTCTTCAAAATGACGTCGATTCACACATGTGAACGGGCTACCTAAAGAGACCGAACAGAAGTGGAGGGCTATGCAGTAAGGAAGTGGCGCCTCCAGATAGGATCAGCTGCGGCATCGAGTCAATGTGGAGATGCGGTCGACTGCATTACGGTATTGGCGTGTGATCCGCGTAGGGGCTCCCAATATCGTTCGGAAACCTCAATTTGAAAATACAATTATATCGGCTTCGAAAGGTCACTTCTGTAATTGTTCTTTGGCCCCTTAAGCTTATCCCTATAGATCTCAGATTTTTCTCAAGTTGGTTTCTCTGCTAAGTCTATATTCGTGGAGAGAAACCCATTTAGCTATGAAACGGTCAGTTGAAAAAGTCCTATCAGACACAGACTAGAGTTGAAATGGTTT